CCTCAGTATCGCTTCTTGTGTTCGCCCGAATTGCTTCGAAGTCTCGTCTAGCCCTAATTTTGGTAATATGATACAATATCCATCCGCGTTGGCTCAATCTTAATGTATGTAATAACCTCCTCTTCGCACATTTTTTCAAGATCAGACTTCGTAGCAAACCTGATCTCTTTCCGTTGTTCATTGATCAACCCTTGTAGTAGATCTACCTCCTTGTCAGGAGCATGCTTCCCCCGTAGGCCTTCATGGTCCCCTTCATTCTCGTTGGTTGGATCCGAGTTTTTAATTGCAATGACACTTAGCGACTTCCGCGAAACACGTAGCGAGGTTTTGCTGACCGTAGTCGATCGCTTGGATCGCGTGGCAAGAGTGAGCTTCCCCTTATTCTTTGAAAAATTCTGCCTCACGCACAATAGCCTGTATCAAGCCATCTTTTTGAGCCCGGCGCAAGGTTCCCATGTCCTTGGGGGTATGCATGGCCGTCGAGTTGGGATAAACTCTGGCTTTCCCCACCGGTGGCTCCGTAGGCAGGCTCTTTCAATGATCGTGGCCGCTGCCCTCTTCGCTGCATTCTTCATGGTGCAGCATTGGTGCTGACTTCATCCTTCAGACCGGTGAACTTTTTCAAGTGCCTATTCGAGGGTTTGAGTATAGCAAGCTCTTGTTTCTTCTCTAGCTCCATTTGAAAGTCTTCCACCTCCTTCAGATTGTCGTACTTTATATCCTTTGACTTCGCCTTCGTTTGCACTCCTTCGTCGTCTCCTTTTTTCTCTTGAGGTTGTCAATTTCCTATCTCAACTTTTCTTGCTCCTAATGCCTTAACAAATCTTTTTCTCCTTTCATAATTGCTCGACCTTGTCAAACACCGTTTCGCAGACCAACTTCATGTTGGTCCTGACCTCTTCCCCCATATGGTTGATGATAGAATTTTTGGCCTTCTTATCATTTAGTACTTTCTGCTCCTCATCCTTCTTCAGCTTAGCCTCCTCGTCTGCCTCCTGTTTTGCTCCATCTGTTCCTTTAGAGTTGTATGAGCTTGTCAATCTTGCCGTCTCGTTCCTTGTCTTGGAAACCTCGAGGTCTAGAATACCACTTGCCGTTGTTATATTCTTCGTAACTTCCCAAACTATTGAAATGTTTGTTCCCTTCGTTGTATCCCCCGCTGCCATATATGTCAGTTGAAGAAGGCGGAGCCTGTCTCTTGATACGGTACGATGGCATTGGAACTTGTCGCCGAAAGTATACCGCAGTCAGACTCCAGTTGGGAATCGGACCCGTACGCTGTCCCTGCAACCATATCCGCTGCATTAGGGATATCGCACCGTTGGCATTCCCTCACAAAATGTCTTGGCAGATTAAAGTGATGGCAGACGTTGCTGACACATCTTTGAAACCACCAAGAACCTATCACATATTGGATATCTATAAGTACTTGATAATGTCATGTCTAAATAAGTTAAAATAACATAAATAATCTATATTTATATCTCTCTATAAACAATCAAAGAATAGAATATCAAATTTTTCTACATAAAAGTATAAATATAAATAGAGAATATCATATCTTATGAATATGGTATCTTATATTATATCATGTATCTATTCTTATATTATATCATGTATCTATATATATCGTCAAATAGAACTGCCCGGTAAACCGTAGGCAGAGAGGGAGAAGAGGACAACAAACGAGGGGCTGTGACAAACTGTTTCGTCGGAGTTTCACCGACTCATCAGGAGGTATCATACACATAGTATACAGAATTCAAAGGAGTTCGCACCGAAGGAAAACATCTCGCAGAAGCTCTCACCTGCACATAGAGGACCGTGGCCTGTCCTAGAAGTCGGAGGAGGAGAGGACGGCCCGTCGTATACGATCGAGATCCCAGCACCTCCACATGTACCCAGTCTTCAACTCCCACGTCTGACAGGTTCCCTTCCGAAAGGTTGATGATTCCTCCAGACATGGATGGCGAGTATGATATAGAGCGCATTGTGGAAGAGGACGTGTTTAGGACAGGAGGCCGAGGCCGTTCCCAGAAACAGTACAAAGTTAGGCCCGCATACCAGGAACCCGAGGACGAGTGGTGGTTTACAAGAACAAAGCTTTTAGAAACCCGCGTGTTTAGGACAGGAGGCCAAGGTTGTTCCCAGAAACAGTACAAAGTTAGGTTCGCATACCAGGAACCCGAGGACGACCGGTGGTTTACAAGAACAGAGCTTTTAGAAACCGCTCCCGACATAGTACACGCCTACGAGAGGGAAAGAAAAGGTAAAGGTCCTGCCTTGAGTTAGTGTTCTTGGAGGACCCCGAATTTAGGATGGCGGGAGTGAAACGGTTTCACCCAGTTGACCTGGTACTGCAGTCACAGAGATTCGATCCTTAGACCTGTGCCCTAACCCTGTACATAGATCCCGTGTGCTGAGTGAGATTCGATCCCAAAACCTGTCCTACGGCTTAGGTTAGTCTGTAGTTTGGCCAGTAGGACTTGATCCCTAGGTCTGTAGATTAGCAGCTAGGTCTGTTACCAATAGGCCTAGAGAGTCTGTTCTAGAAGTCTCTACTGGGTCTGTCTGTAGAGTCTGTAGGTTCTAGAAGTCCATAGGGTTTTGTAGGGTGGTCCAGCCAGCATGTACCTGTGTAAGGGCTGCACGTGGGGAAGGTTCTGGAGCACGCAGAGAGTTCCACACGTTTTGGCCCAGAAGGCCAAACGTCTGGAAGCTTCCCTGGGCCACACGTTTTGGCCCAGGCCCACAGGTCTGGAGGCAGGGTTCGGGTACCTCCGAAGAAGTATAAATAAACAGGCAGCGTCCAGCCATTCATTCATTCGCCTGGGAGCCATGCGGAAGAGCTGCCTTGGTGTCTTGTGCATGGAGGTCTGCAGGTGCCTGGAGACGAAGTGGGCAGTGAAGATGACGGCGGCCATAGCTGGCCAGTGGGGTAGACGTCGGCGGCCATAGCTAGCAGGAGGAAGACGACGGGGGCCATAGCCGCCCAGCTGTTCGTGAAGACAAGTGTTCAAAGTGTGTGAGGCTGTGCTGAGTGGGGACATTCAGGGTGATCCTCGTACGTGCACGCATGAGACAGTGAGGGAGAGAGTGAGGCTGGTGGTAGAGACAGTGTTCGACGGCCATAGCGGCAAGTTGTGCAGTTGTTAAGATTGAGTTTAAGACAAGTTCATTGTTGTTTTTGAGTTGAAAGAGTTCAGTTTTGCCATCGGTTCTCAAGTGTGCATGTTGTGAGCAAGTCCAGAGTTGAGTCTGATTGCACACCGGTCCCTGCGCGATATGCCCTCATGAGCGGCATGCATCTCTCCGTCATGCCCTTGCCCTGGAAATTTGGGTTTGAAGCACGTGGTTTTTGTGGTGCTACTGCAAAAAATGACTGTGTGTGTGTTTGTGAGAGAGAGATGGAGAGAGAGAGAGAGAGAGAGAGAGAGAGAGAGAGATGAAGTGGCCACCATGCAGTGTGTGCATGTGTGTGTGAGAGAGAGAGATGAGGTGGCCACCATGCATGTGTGTACATGTGTCTGTGCAAGAGAGAGAGAGAGAGAGAGAGAGAGAGATGAAGTGGCAGCCATGTGCGTAGCCATAGAGGTGCGCTGAAAAGATGCACCCTACTGGTAGGGGCATATGGATTTTTTTTTTGTGGTGGTACTCAGCAGCTATCTGGTAGGGGCATACTGCAAGTTTGCAATGGGTACCGGTAGGGGCAAAACAAAAATATTTCAGGCCAAACCGACACTGGGGTCTTAAGGGAAATTTGAGTTGTGGTCAGAGGGGCGCGACAGCTATCTGGTAGGGGCATACTGCAAGTTTGCAACAGGCACCGGTAGGAGCATAACAAAAATTATTTCAGGCCAAACCAACACTGGGGTTTTACGGGAAATTTGAATTGTGGTCAGAGGGGAGCAACAGGGTAAATGATGTGGGAGGGCCCGGGGGGGCACGATGCAAAATAATGGAAATTTCAGGGGAGCCAGTCAAATTGTCCCTCTTTTTTATATTCTGGTGGGTGTGGCTGAGGTTGTGGCTGTGGCACAGCCCTGTGTTGAGGTGCGTTTCTTTTTTTCATAATGTCGGCTGAGATGCCACAGCCACAGCCGTGGGGAAAAAAAAAAAAAGAACTATTCGATGCCATGCCCGAGATGCCTCGGTCATGCCTGTGGGAAAAAGAAAATTTGGATGTCAAGGGTACTGTTTTTGCACGCTATTTTCAGTGTTACTTCAGTTGCTCGCCATCTCAAGCACAGACTGAAACTAAGTGACAAAATTAAATATTATCTGAAAACAAAAGTGTTATACTAACTGATTATACTAACGGAAGTCACTGTGACAAAGGAGTTCGGGAAATGTTGTTGTGGTGAACTGAATTGGCAACACAGTTCTGAAAACACGGTTACCGTGAATCAAACGTCACTGTGACAATAGAGTTCGGGAAATGTTGTTGTGGTGAACTGAATTGACAACACAGTTCTGAAAACAGGGTTACCGTGAATCAAGCAGACTGAAAGACTGAAAGTAACAACACAGTTCTGAAAAATTGAAAGGGTTAAAAAAAATTCAGGAGAAGTATTGAGGCTGAAAACATTTTCAACCCAGTCACTTTTTCCTGACATAACTCTGTTCGCCCATCGCTCTGGGAGCTGTTGAGATGTGATAAAAAGTGATGCTGACATGTTCTTGCGGGTGGAAGAGGTGTGAGTTTATGTCGAACTTCATGGCACTCTATGCATTAGTGATGTGGTGAGATTAGAGACCGGTTTCGGATTGCATTTGAGTTGTGGATGTGTTTTTTTCTAAGAGTTTTGGTAAGCCCGCAAGCCCAGACAGAGATAGAGAGCCAGTTTTGTCATATGTCAGTTTGTCCGGGTTCTTCCCAAGCAGCCCCTTGCTGTTGTCAGTCTCAAAGTAGACTCGAGCTTCGGTTTTGTGTGACACTGTGCGTCTGTGTCTTGGTGTGGGTGTGGGTGTGTGTTTCACTCTCTTGCATGTGAAGACAGTGGAGTTGTAGGGCCAGTGAAAGAGCCATGGGGGTCATTGACGCCTTGAGAGTGATTCCTGAGAAGGTGAAGGCTATTCCAGGCGCTGTGCGAGATTACTTCCAGGCCGATGAAGAAAAGGGAGCAAAAATTCGGCGATGGTTGGGGGCCACCATTATTGCCGTGGCCATTGGCTACATGGCTGTTACATCAGAGCCCATGGCATCCTCTCTTGAACCAGTTACCGATAAAGTCAAAGGCTTGTTTGGGAAGGGAAAATCCAAGAGCCAGGCATTCTACAGGGAGCACAAAAGAGCACAGAGGAGTGAGTAAACCCTTGGATCCCCCCCCCGGGCCCCCAACTGACTTGTTAGATGAAGCTCTTTATACTTCCGAATTTTGTCTTGCTTTCAGCCTTTATCTGAATTTCTCAGATATCTAGAAACCCATCTGATTGGCATTGCAGATCTTTCGCATTCGGTTTTCTACAAAAAGTTATATACATCACAATCAACAGAAGAAAATAGTGGAGCTATCAACAGGGCGAGAGAAAAATTCCTGAGACACCTCGACACCAGCATCAAGCCAGAAGCAGCAGCATACCTAGACAAAGACCTCTCCCTAGCAGAAGTGCATGAAGCACTCGACTCCGTGCAAGCAAGCAAGGTCCCAGGCATCGATGGGCTAACGAAGGAATTTTGGCAGGAGCACTGTTTTGCTTGGGAGGGATCTCCTGCGATTCTACCAAGAAGCATATACAAGAGGGACATTGGGAGAAGACATTAGCACGGGAGTAGTAGCACTGTTATACAAGAAGGGGGAAAGAGAGGACATAAGAAACTATAGGCCAATGTCCTTACTAACAGTAGCCTATAAAATAATAGCAAAGGTCCTAGCCAACAAAATAAGAAATGTGACCGATAAATGCTTCCATTTAGATCAAACAGGATTCATCCCAGGAAGATTCATACTGGACAACGTAATCTGTCTAAATGAATCAACCAAGTTAATAAGGGACAAGAAGTTACAAGCAGCCATCCTCTTCTTTGACTTCGAAAAAGCCTATTAAGTCAACTGGGACTTCCTGCAGCAATGCATGGAAAAAATGGGAGTGGGGACAGTTTTTAGGAGATGGGTGAGAGTCCTGTACGCGGACGCAAGAGGGAGAGTCCAAGTTAACGGCCATTTATCAGATTCATACAGAATGACGAGATCGGTAAGGCAAGGAGATCCACTAGCAGCTCCAATATTCCTCTTTGTTATGGAGGCAATAGCCACCTTCCTACGGAAAGACCCCTCCATAGAAAGACTTCAGACTCTGGAGGACGGACGGAATAAGAGGATCCAACTCCCAGCAATGATGCTATTCGTAGACGATCTAACAGTCCTCATAAGAGCGTCGGACTCATCTTTCCTAGCACTGACTAAGGCGATGGAAGCCTTCCAACTAGCGTCTGAAATGAAGATTAATTGGAAGAAAACAGCAGGATGGTGGATCTCAGAAAGACCTCCCCCCCCAAGCAACGAATCAACACAGGGACTACAATGGATGGACCACCAAGCCCCCTTTAAATTTCTGGGAATCACAGTTACCCTGACAGGGACCAGCAACTCAATAGCAGCGAGCCAAGATATACACATCTCTGATGGGTAGAGCGATAGTCATCAATTTGTCGATCTTCTCCATGGTTTGGTACACAGCGTCAATCTGGGACCCACCCACCAGCTTCACGAAGGACTTATAGAGAGAAAGGCAGCAGCCTACTTATGGACAGGGGACGCATCCAAGATCCAATTTATATCCAAAGTGGCCTGGAAATATGTAACCAACCCAATAGAAGAAGGAGGGATCAGTCTCATAGATCCCACAGCGGAATATAAAGCTCTCCAGACAAAGTGGATCTTAAGGCTGTTATTGAAAACGGAACTACCATGGCAAGAAATGGCCCTATACTAAATAAGAAACCTCCTTCCTTTTAAAACACATGATAGCATAGAAGGCCATTCTTGGATCATGAATAGATACTGGACACCCAGAAGAGAAGCAGGAAGACCTAGACAAAGGAACCAGCTACCGAACTCTGATCCCCCAAGCAGCCACTGGGCAAAACTGATAACAGCATGGAGGGAGGCTTTCCCACAAAGAAGGAGAAGTCCAAGAACAAAAGAAGAAATTTTGAGACAACCGCTGTTTGGGAATGACCTCTTAAAAGATCAAAATGGTAAGGCATGGTCCCTCAAGGCGAGGGGGAAGAGATGGAGGACTTGGGTAGAGAGAGGCATATGGAAGATTGCGCACATATGGGATGAAAGTAACAACAAGTGGAAATCAGAGGGAGACCTTAGAACTAAGCTGAGAGGCCACCACAATATAAAACAAAACCTAGAGGAATTGATAGACAGTATCCCAATAGCCTGGAGGTCAATGCTTAAAAGAAGTATAGTTTGGAAGAAGGGTGACTGGTCAACATTGAAGTCACAAGAAACACCCTCGGTAGCCCTTCGTTTCATAAGATACGAAGGAACTGATAGGAACATAGCCAAATTCGAAGTACATGAGTTGGAAAACACAAATCAAGCAATAGTGGAGGTCAGAAAAGACACCCTAATCAACCTAGACTTTGCTCTTCAGGACTTGAGGAAGGTCAGAGACCTTAAAACGAACAAAAGGTGGAGGTCAGAAAAGACACCCTAATCAACCTAGACTTTGCCCTTCAGGACTTGAGGAAGGTCAGAGAACTTAAAAATGAACAAAAGGGACTAAGGAAAGGAAGAAAGAAGTCAGAACCCCCCACCTATCTGTTTANAATGAACAAAAGGGACTAAGGAAAGGAAGAAAGAAGTCAGAACCCCCCACCTATCTGTTTAGACCAGATAAAGACATATCAGAATTAGAGGTTGATCCTAACGAGTGGGGCTGGTATCAGAACAGGGGGAGAGGAAGGGCCAAAAAGTGGATCCCGTTGCACGAATACACAGTAAAAAAGGGATATAGGATAAGACGCAAACTAGAAAACCCACAACCGGTCATAGCGGCAAGGTGGGAAAAAAACCTCCAAATTGACCCCGCTTTCTGGCAAACAATCCCATGGTCCTACTATCCAGCGATCAGACCTCAAAAAGTGAGAAGCTTACAATGGTTGATAATTTACATGGCAGTCCCCACCAATGAATGGTTAGAAATGAGGAGGAGAAAGGAGGACAGAACGGAATACTCAGCACACTGCCAAATGTGCCAGGAACAGGTAGTGGAAACACTAACCCACTGCCTACTGGAATGCCAACATGCCAAAGCGCTCTGGCTCAAATGCAAAAAAGCWTGGTCCAATCTATCTAATAATGAATTCCCGACAGACCAATTCCTCCTCCTAACAGCAATAGACAGAGAAAGCTTAATCTCTGAGGAGGATAAAGCGATCACCAAATTACTGTGAAGAACAACACTGTGGGTAATATGGAGAGCCAGATGTGGAAACACAGTAGGAAAAAAGAAAATAACGGCAAATGAATCATGGGAAGAGGCGAGGGAAATGGTAGAAACAGGGGTGAGAGTGGAATGGAGGCGAACCCTTGAGAGAATGGACAAAGAAACAGAGGACCAGAAGAGAACTAAAACACAGAAAGAGTTCGAACAGCACTGGCTGAAGGAAGGACCTGGTAAGGATAAGCGGAACTCCTCCAATTCACGAGCTGGTGGGATCCAGACAGCCTAACAACAAACCAGAATAGCACAAACGCAATGGACTTAGACCGATAAGAAAAGGAAAACACAGAGGAGGAACTAGCGCAACAGTAGAAAAAGGGGAGGGTGAGAAGAAATAAGAACTAGTGGCAGGAAGAAGCCAAAACCAAGGACAGCACTTCCGAACGGAGGATCAAAACAGATAGAAAACCAAACAATGCAGAAAGCGGTAGCCCAAAAAGGAATCAGCAACAGCACCAACCCGCCTGGAAAGAAAGAGGACACACAACATAAAGGAAGAGAAGGGGAAACTAAGGGACTCAAGGCTCAAGCATATAAACGACACCCAGCACTCACCTCACTACACCCTCCAAGCCAACCGCCCACACGCTTACTAACCGCAACAGGTCAAGACACCAACAGACAACCCCGTGTCCCTACAAGCCTCAGAAACCCCCAACCCCAACCAAACTCGTCCCACCCAATAGTGATGCAGCCCCACCCTTACCTTTTACCCTCCCTCTCCCGCCCCAAGTCCACAACCCCAAGCACATCAACCCAGAATCCAAACATCCACCACTACACAAACTACCTCAGGCACTACCCCCCCCACCCAAACTACCCCGCCAAGAAACCATAGACAGGCTCAACAGAGTCAACTCAAAAGGACGGACAAAGAAAGACCATAAAAATACGCTACAGCCAGCAAGGGTTTAGGGTTTTAGATAGAGGGTTTAAGCTTCAGCCTAGACAAAAACACAAACACATAGGGACTAAGATGTCAGGGGGTTCAAGAGGTTCATAGACCCTCCAGATCGCTCTAGCATGGCACAATAATCCAGTAGCACTTTCAGGCAAGAGGACTTCAGCCAGGCAGAGCAAATAGAATGGGCTAAACTAGACAGGGGTGAGGGGGGGTAAATCCTTCCTCAGAGAAGTAATAAAGATTAAAGACCATAGTTAGAGAGTCAGGGGAAGGCAGACCTAGCTCTACCAGCAATACACACAGATCTGACAGCCTTACAGCTGAGAGGAAGAACTAGGGAAAGCTCAGATAGTCCGACAGACAGATACCACATTACAGAGTTCACAACTCCGAGAGGCCTTACAAGCCCAAGATTACGTCCAGAAGGCTAACTTAGGCAAGGGTGAATGATGGTACATCCTTCCCATGGGAAGTAATCAATGCCGTCTTCCGGGCCTTCCTACCATAAAGGGGAGGAGCGTGTGTGAGTACCTTTTGTAAGCATTTCTGACTTGCCGGTGGAATAGGAACCGGACTGATGCTCCCCAGAATGGAAAAGGAGCCAGAACCGTAAGGTTCTGTTTGTTTGTAAGAAAAAAATAAAAAAAAATAAAAAAAATAAAAAATCACCTTTTGCATTCTTTTCTTTATGGAACTAGGGAGACCCGAGTTCAAACTCCACTGGAAGCAGATAAACAACATAAAACGCAAAAAAAAAAAATGACCACAGGTAAGCCAAAGGCAAAGGCACCAGCTACCCATTCGTGGAGCTCAGTAGGTACGTCCCTGAACTGTTGAAACACAGACCTGAGTTCGAACTCCACTGGAAGCAGATGAGCAACATGCTACAAATAAAACAAACAAGTGAACCGACCGCAGCCCAGTGACAGCCCCACCG